CATCAAGTACGAACAGAGCTCCACTTGCAGAATGAATCTTTCCCAACTTTCCATTCTTTTTTTTCTTTTTTCTTTTGTATTTTCCATATGTGTCTTTGTGTGTGTGCACACCTGGAAGTCATGGCGTTCTCTTGTGACTGACCCCTACTGGGGGCCTGGAGGATATTCAAAGAGGTGGCTGAATAAAGCCTGCCCCCGCCTCCCAACTCCTGGTATTCCAAGGAGGTCTCCCATCCAAGTACTTGCCAGAGTCGACCCCGCTTAGCTTTTGAGATCTGACGAGATCAAGCTTGCCTGGGCCATCCAGGTCGGAGCCCTACCTCTCCATTCTTGTTGTGTAGTCTTCCCCCCTCCTCAGGACTGGGATACTTTCCTGGAAGGTGCTAGACATGTGTGGGAGTTGAGAGGGAAATAATGAAAATAACAAAAATCCCCCCCCTTGTCCAAGCAAGTCTGAATCCAATCCATTGTTCCTTTGTGTGGTCTGTGCATGTTCTTTTATGCTCATGTTGTCAGAGAAAGACAGAGGTCTGCTGACTCCAGTAGGATTCCTCCACCTCCACATGTGGACACTGTACCCTAAATATTCATTCTAAACCAATGTTTGTATAACTTTTAAAATACCACTATTGTCAGTACAAGTTGTCATAATGTTACAGCAGCATTCTGAACCATTCTCTAAGAACCAGGGAATGGTATCAGAAGAAGAAGACCCTGGGACTGCACAGAAGGATAGATAGAATGAATACCTTTACTATGTAACGAGTAGGGATGTGCATTCGGTTCAGACAAACAAACAAACAAAAGCCGAATAATGTGTATTTGGCATTATTCGGCCCGCCGAAAGCCGAATCAGATTCTCTAATCTGATTCAGCTGGCTCGCACCCGCCCGGGCCTTTCCTGGCCTGCCCGACAAGGCGGGCAGGCCAGGGAACGCGGGGGGGTAGCTTGGGGGGCAGCACACTCTGTAGCGTGAATGGGGGGGATTTAAACTTTAAAATTCAAGTCACGCCACAGAGGCAGCACACTCCCTTCAATCCCCATAGGGTATAATTGAGCCGAATGTGATTCGGCCAGCCAAATGCCACCCCAATTGGCTTGCATTGCCGAAAGTGGCATTTGGGGGTCATTCAGCTGGCCGAATCACATTGGGCCCAATTCGGCCAAATCTGAATGGGCCAAAAAAATTTTATATTGCACTTCCCTAGTAACAAGCTGTAAGTAACCAACACTCTGACCTGGATAGCTGATCTTGTTAGATTTTGCAAGCCAAGCAGGGTCAGCCCTGGTTAGTACTTCGATGGGAGACTACTGAAGAAGTCCAGAGTGGCTGTGCAGAGGCAGGCCATGGCAAACCACCTCCGTTCGCCTCTTGCCTCGAATGGCCTCTGGGGTCGCCATGAATCAACTGTGACTTGAGTGGCAAAATAAGTAAGCAATAATAACCACAATCAAAACACTTTAACACACATTTAGGAAGTAAGGAAACGGCCCTGACTTTGACCACAGCTGACCATCTGAATTTATTCTGCTGCCATGCTTGCAGTAGGCTAGGCCACAGTGGTTGATATTTTCCATGTAAATTATTTTCATTGTCTGTGTTTAACAAGAAATTACCCTCAACAGGAATAACGAGAGCCAGTGTGTGTGTGTCTAAAGCATAATGTGGCAACTCTTCAGAACTTAGAAGCATTTTCATTTATAATGCCAGCGTTGCAATAAACAGTTTAAACTGAGGACAGCGCATTTAATTTATAGCAGCTACCAAAAGCATGAGCAGCTAAGATAAAGCAGCTACTTTAATATATGTTTTTGGAAATACTTACGTGTGTGTCACGAGATAAAAGCCTGATGTCCCAGGTCCAGTTGGAGAAAGCTATCTCTGAGCAAATAGAGGCGTGCTTTATTGTGTGCGAGGTATTGCTGTTGCTTCGCTGAGACTGATAATGGGGTAATTATGCTCGTAACAAATAAGATCTGATACAAACCGAAGCACTAACTGAGATTTTCCTTCTGGACACCATAGCCATGTCAGCCCTGTCTTCTATCATTTTTATAACAGCATCATGCATCTGCGGCTCGTGAACCATTTTTCCCTTTTCTACCAAATAAACACCTTGAATTATTCAAAAGCATTATGAGAAGATAAGGAGCGCCAAGGTTTAAATAAACTTGCCGGACTCTCTCCTCCTTTCCCTCCCCCAAACAAAGCATCGTTTTTCTACATTTTTTGTGACTTGCTATCAGTCAGAGTGAGATTCTGTGAAGCTCTAAAGCACTTGGTTTACATGAAGCCGAATTGACCTTTCAGGTCATTGACACAGTTCGGTATAACATCTCCCATTCTCTTAACCATGGCTAAGCAATTGGCAGGGAGAGATGTTCCCTCTAAGTTGTGGAGTCTTGTGAGCAAAAATTCTACTTTGTGAGCTACTGGCATTAAAG